GAATCTGTTTGTTTTCCTAGCAGTCCATGGTACCCTCAATACTCTTCTCCAGCACCACAGCTCAAAGGCATCAATTCTCCTTCTGTCCTCCTTAAAGAAAATGATTCAATGCTGCTTGCATTCTCCAGCTATGAACTGATTCACTGGCAATGAGAGAATGTATTCAACATGGAATCAGTAAGGTACTCAGTAATTATTTGAGCTAAACTGATCTCCACTGACTACTTTTCTCACTACAGTTCCTGCAGTTTAATCCTTGATTACCTTAAAGTTGCTAACTTATTTATATAAAGTATGAGCTGTAGTAAGTTAGCTCTCATGGATGATCTTGGACTTAAGCAGCAGAATTGTGGGGAAAAAAGTCTGGCTAAACCATGCTAATGAATCTCTAGAGGTGATATTTCAGGTGTCAGATGTTAATGAGAGGAGGACCCCTCACTCATGCTATATTTGTTTACTTTAGAGAAATAAGAAAGTGAAAATAGAGACTTTTATTCTTTCAGTAATTTAGTTCCAAAGCTTAAAGCACTTGAAGTTATCTCACTACCACTTAAAATAGTCACTGTTCCAATTTAGATGGCTGAGCAGTCCAAATTATTAATCACAGTGATGGTCCACTAAAAGGCTTGTAGTTGGAACTCAAACCGAAAGTGCCTCCAAAGACAAGACTGGCGATCTGCTTTCCAAAATTGCACAGCTTTGAAAACTACAGAGCAGTTCTTCTCTGCACAGATGGAACTGCCTTGATTTGGAGATAACTCCCATGACTAATAACAGCATCTCAATTTAACCTTGAGATCACATGGAGCGGGGCGGGGGTGGGGGGTGAGAATCAGAATGACTTTCATCAAGGAAAAGCAAAAATAAGGTCACGTTCTGACATGTCAAATATTTTATTGTTTTGTTATTAACAATAAAAAGAAAGTAATAAAAATGTTAAACCTTATTCTTGCTTTTCCTTGATAAAAACCACTCTTTTTTTTTCCACTCCAAATTATCTCAAAGTGTTGTAGTCCAAAGGAGTTGCACTAATAACTCAAAGGCTATGCAGCTGTAGGAGCTCAAATACAGTAGCAGACCCTTGGGAGAAAGATGGCAATCTCCTCCCATGCAATTTAAAGCCCTGGAAACCCACTAGAGGGTCAGCTATGAGTCAGGTCTGACTCAACAGCCATGAAAAAGAGAGATAGAATGTCTTTGAATTTTTTGCATTCAATTTATATCTATAATGTGTATTTTTGCAGCTAAGGAAATGAGCTAATAAATTCAAATGATAGCCCATTCATTAGTTCATTAATTATTTTAGAACAAAGAAAACCACTTAAAATAAACCAGGTGGTAGAAAATTTAGATTATGATCTATATCCAATGAACTCTTCAAAGTGTTCCTAGATTGCTTAAGCTTTGAAAGACACAAGAGGCTTTTGGATCTGAAAGAGAAGACTTGCTCTGCCCTTCAGAGTGGGAGACGCTGATGGCAGTATTGTGAGTCTCAAGGGAAACCTTCCATGCTCTTCATATTATGTGATTTCTTTAAGGAAGAATTAAACTATAAAATAACCAGTGTTATAAATGCAACATTTTTAAGATCCTTTTTATACTAGGGACAGTTAAAGGAGAAGAAAAAAAATAAGGACAGCATTTGAAGATATAATCTTATTATGCTGTTACTGCTTCAGCTCATTACTTTCATTTGGTGTTCCTAAGCCATAAATATGTCAGAACACCCATTTCTGATAAATACTGAAACTGTATCTGTTTATACATGTTCTTAATTAAAAGGGAATTTTACCAAGGCTTGTTATAATTTGAAAAGTATAGCTTTTACTTTTTATGTTACCATTTAAAAACTTGATCATTATTCTTTTGATATGTTTACCTGTATCACTGGAGGAAAGAGAGAGCTGCAGAAATACCCATTTTGTGGCTTAAGTAAAATTATAAGTGAACTTTAAAGCTCAAGAGCTTTACTAGCTTTTATTGAAATGATAAATTTAAGTAAATCAGTTTACTTGAAAAATGCCTTCTAGATATGAAATTCTTGCACTAAATATCATTAACAAATGTGTTACTTTTTGTATCTAAGAGATGCTTTGATTCCTTCTCAATATTTACTTACATTCCAATGATTTGGTGGTATAGTCATTTACATCTTCTATACATATGTGCCACTTGTCTAATATTAATTATTCTGTGCATTTTCTTTTCCCTCTTCTTACTGAGCCAATGTTGATATTGCTACCAAATAAATTTAGAGTACATTTTTATAATTCAAAGAAGCTCTGTTTGTGTATGTGTGTACACACACATATCTGCGTCCATGTCTCCACATAAGTGGTTTTGTGTGGCTACCTATGAATATGAAATTTTTTTCCTTCCTTGAGGAAAAAAAAAACAACACTCCAAAAATGAAGACATGTTATTCTGTGATGAGGGGGAAAGAAAAAGACTCAATTACCAACAGCTGTGCAAAGTTGAGTTTGGAATAATTGACCTTGCATATCCTGTGATAGTTTGTAATTTGCTAGTAAGACATTCGCAGCAAAATGAAAACCCTTCCCCTTACTTTGCAGCTCTTTCTCTGTCCTCCCTTGTGTTGCAGGCTTGTAATGTTTGAGCACAATACCTGGGTGAATTTCCTATTTGCCTCTGTGCGTGTTATTTGTGGCAGAGAACAGTGCCCGGTCAGCAGCTCTAGATCTGGAGCCCGTGGACACTATATGCTGGGCTTCAGTGGAAAGAGAGATCTGCTTAATTTTGTCCCAGGTGAAGGAGTCCAGCGGTTCCTAGCCTGGACTACGGGAAGGTTCCCACATCCTCTTTGTCCCATTAGTTGAGATGACTTGCAGTAGAAATTGTCCAGTGAGTGTTAAGAACTTATTGAAAGATCTCTTAGTTTTATAGTTTTGTTAGGGGAAAATGTAAGAAATTTTACTTCCATGTTAAATGTTAAATGGAATTAAATCCTGCTTTCTCTACTTACATTCTAGATGCTTAGCAAACTAGAATCAACAGTTAGTTTTTAAAAGTTTCCCATAAATCTGGGATTTTGGAACTGTGAAATTGAGTTGGTAAAAACAGAAACTATTCTAAGCGGCAAGGCCGTGAGTTATTAGATTAAACAGCTAAACTACCAGTTTTCACTTATGAAATTTTAACTCTTGTGGAGTAAGCTAATCAAAACCCATTTTTCAAAACCTGTTGCTGACTGTTTAAACATGAAATACTAAAACTTCTCAGACAGTATTTGAGTAAATGTCTATATTCTCTTGCCTGACCCTTTAAGTCCATTGGAAAATATCACAGTTGTTAAAACTCTAGGGATCCTATTGTATAGTTTTGGAAAACTCAAGTTAACTCTTTAAATTGATAAAGTCAGTCAGATTAAAAAAATGGCAATATAAGCATCCTTTATACATTAAAATGTTTATGAAAAATATATATGCTTTCTTAGCACTGTAGAAATAGATATTCTTACTTTAATGCAACAGTTCCAAAATCAAGAGATAAATGGGAAGATAGTGCAACTATAATTGCTTTTCTTCAATTAAGTAAACTTGGCATGGGTATAAAAAATTAAGGAGGACTTATTTATGTTTTTCCATTTTACTTTTCTGATTAAAGCAGGTATTTTAATGATTGGGAAAATGATTTCTATATGTATGTTTCTCTCAAAAATTACTGATAGAGTTTTCTTTCTTTTTTTCTTTTTTATGACATTTTAAAAATTATCTTTAGGTAACCCAGCATTGGAAAGATTGAGCTTCAATCATTCAAAATAATAGCACCTCATTTTTCCTTAAAATTTTTTTGAGGCCCACACCATATGTGGATAATTGCCTGAATATTTTCTTTAAATGCTTTATAGAATTAACTATTTTAATATAATAATACCTGCTTTAAATGTGTTCCCTTTTCAACCTCTTTTAATTTACTTCTAGCCCCCAGTATCACAATATACTCAACTTTTTTGCAAGGCTCAATGCACTTCAAAACTTTTAACCAGTGGCAAAGAAGAGATAAGCACTCTTAACATAAAGATGCAAAATAACAGTTTGACTTTCATAAAAGTGGCAAGCTCAAACTCAGTAACGGTTAGTTTTGTTATTAGAGAAAATTAAAGTGCTGCTTCCAAGCAGGACTGTAGGAGAACTTGGCAGCCCTGTGCTGTGTTTGGTTGCAGCCTGTCTTAGATTCGTCTGGAGCTCCTGGTTATACAGCAGCAAGGTTATGGAAAACTAATATGTCCTATTCACCACCCCTCCACATTTTCTTCTTTTCAAACGGTAGCTGTAATTTTGTTTCATTTTTGGGGAGAACAAAGATAAACAGGAAAGAATACATGTCTTTCACTGTTTTAGGACTTATGTATTTGGTCAACACTTGAAAAATGAAAACAGTTGTTAAAGAAAAATACTTGAAGTGCAAATGAGATACCCTTGACATATCTCTCTTTAGGCTATTAACTGAATACCTTTTACAGAATGAGAGTAAACAGTGGAGCTCAGTAAGGTGTAAGTTATCCTGTCATATTACTATTCTAATTAAGTTTTAATACTTTAAGCCCTGATACCCTGGGCATTCAAAGATGTCATTAAAATGGTAAATTCAAGTCAGCTCTACTTTTATAAATAGATGCCACTTGGAGACAGTGATGCAATGTTTACCAGAATAGATTAGCAAACTCTTCTGTTTGCATGGAGCCTTGTTACTGAATTCAATGTTTCTTTCCCTCTGCATGCTCTTACTTCCATAGTTCGTTTGCATTTTATTTGCATAGCTCTAGTTATATTAGAATATGACATTGCCGCATTAGTTGACCATGCTTGTGTTTTATTTTGTAATTCAAATTACACACCCAACCATTTCACTGTCACTAACTTGTACTTTTTTCCATAATATTTGTAGCAACCCTCCTGACCTCCGGGACTACTGCAACAGTAGCCCTCTTGCGAGATGGCATTGAACTGGTTGTAGCCAGTGTTGGGGATAGCCGGGCCATTTTGTGTAGAAAAGGAAAACCTATGAAACTGACTATTGACCATACTCCAGAAAGAAAAGATGAAAAAGAGAGGTACTATCTCCACTGATCAATTATTCTATGAGGATGATGTTTCTAGTTTAAAATAGAAACCTAATATTGTAGTTTTAAACTGGCCCGGTGCTTAAGTTTAACAGTGATTTGGTTTTATACACATCTCATCACAGTCTTATTTTATTTTATTTTTTTTACCAGGATCAAGAAATGTGGTGGCTTTATAGCTTGGAATAGCTTGGGACAGCCTCACGTAAACGGTAGACTTGCAATGACAAGGAGTATTGGAGATCTGGATCTTAAATCCAGTGGTGTGACAGCAGAACCAGAAACCAAGAGGATTAAGGTAAGGAAGGACTTGCAAGTCCTTGATCCAGAATGAATCCAAAGTTATCTCCAGCAAGAGGCTTTCTTAGAAGTGCCTGGTAAAGCCAAAATTATTTTTGAGGAGGTGAGGTCTGGTGGTATAGTCTGAAGAAGTTGTGCTGCTAACTCCAAGGCCACTCATCTTGGGTAGTTTGAATGCCACCCCTCTGCAGGAGAAAGCTGGGCATCTCCTCCTCTGTGATTTGTTACTGTTGTTGTATGACAAGAAGTCAGAACTGACCCATAGCTGACTCTCCAGCAGGTTTTCAGAGGCAGTAAACTACATGGGAGGAGATTGCCCAGCTTTCTCCCTCAGAGCAACTGGTGGATTTGAACCTTGTACCTCTGGGATTATAGTGGAGCTCCTTACTATCAGGCCACCAGAGCCTCAGAAAGCATACTGGAGGGTCAACTGTGAGCTGGCTCCAGCTCAACAACAGTGAGTTAGAATTTGAAATAATTTCTGGATGATATTGTGTTCCTGGCTTAGTATATAATGAGCGACACAACAGTGGCAGTGATGGACTCTAATGAGTGTGAAGATTCCACAGGATTGGGCAACATTCTGTCCTGGCATACATAAAGTCACCATGAGCACAAGCACAGTCTTCAGCAGCTAATGTTACTAACAAATACATGATTTCCTCGTTGGTTTTTATTTTATCCCAGTTAGGGAATTCTCTTGCTTCTACTGTACCCCATCATTTACTATTATTTATTCTTGGAAGCTGCCCCCCCCCAACTTCTTTCTCTTCTCCACCAAACTAAATATACGCATTACGTCTATTTCTGTGGCTTGTTTTACATTCTACTTAGCACTGCTCCTGTTTTCCTAACTGTTTTAATAGAATGCACCCATTCTATGAGCTGACACTGTACTCCCAAATCTCCAAGCCAACTTTCGTACCTGGCGCAGTGTAGTGTAGGTCTTCAGCATGGCAGTGATGTGTTGCTAACATTTATTTACTAAATGAACAACATTGTGTCTTTTAAAATTAAAACAACCAACCAACCCACTGTTGTCTATTTGATTCTGACTCATGACTGGCCTCCATGAGATTTCCATGGACCATCTTTATCCCACAAAAGTTGTTGAGTTGTTGTTATGTGCCTTTAAGTCATAACCAACTCATAGATGACTCTCCAGTGGATTTTTTAAGAGGCTGTAAATGATACAGGATTGCCAATCTTTCTCCCACAGACCAGCTGGTGGATTCAAATTGTCTGCCTTTGCCAAACCACTGAGCTTCCTGATCTTCGGAGTAGCAGCCCCAGATGTAACAACTTCTATTATTTTCTCTAATAAATGTTGATACAGGAGTTGCTCTAAGGTCTTGTTGGGCCTTGGGTGGTGTGGTCTGTAACAAGTTGTACTTCTAACCCAAAGGCAATTCAAATCCACCAGCGGTTTATTCCACCGGAAAAAGGCAGGCAGTCCTGTTCCATTGTGATTTATAACCTTGGAAACCTGAATTAGGGTCACTGTGTATCAGAACTAACTTGAAGGTAATGAGTTTGCCTTTTATAAAGTCTTGAGGTGGCAGTTAGGAACCCATACACTGTACTACTAATCCAAAAGTTAGTGGTTCCAGACCCATTCAGCAGCACCATAGGAGAAAGATCTGGTAATTTGCTCCCATAAAGACTACAGCCACAAAAACTCTATAAAGCTGTTATACTTTCTAACACACAGTCAGCAGGAATTTACATCAACTTGACACCTTTTTTTGGTTTTTATGTGCCAAGCTCTGTTGAAAATACTTAATTCTAGCTCCAGTGTTAAGGAGCTGTGCTATCAACCCAAAGGCAGGTGGTTCGAATCCACCAAGTGCTCTGCAGGAGAAAGATGGGCTGTCTCCTCCTGCGCAATTTACAGCCTCTGAAAACCCACTGGTGGGTCAGCTATGGGTCGGTTCCAACTCAATGGTATACAACAACAATGCCACGGTTGTTTAAAACAAACAAATCTAAGACATACAGGTGCCAATTCACCTGTGTTCTCCCAGACAGGCAAAAATTAAGGCTTCAACCCCTCTACTGCACCAAACTGCCTCTTAACATTCTTCTATTCATCTGGAATTTATCTGGATTCTTCTATTGTATTGTCACAATGACTTTTGTCCTCCATGGCTGATATAAAATGTGATAACTTTTGCACTAACCACAGACTTTGTATTTCTACTATTGTTAGCCCAGCAGAGTATTTTTCAAAGTACTGTTTTTTGTTCAGTGTAGCCACACTGACTGGATTTTCCTACAAGGTCTTAGATAACCAATCAAGCAAAACAGATAAGATCTTTGCCTTCTAAAGGTGATGCTAAGCCAGGGTCTGCTTTTTGATAATAGGCATTTGGTTCTGATTTCAGCTCCATCATGCTGATGACAGTTTCCTGGTCCTCACCACAGATGGTATTAACTTTATGGTGAACAGTCAAGAGATTTGTAACTTTGTTAATCAGTGCCACGATCCCAAGGAAGCTGCCCACGCGGTGATTGAGCAGGTAACACAGCACAGCTGTTGCTTTGCCACTCAAAAAGCCTGGGGGGGGGGACAAGCCCCATCCTGGAGGTGACCACATGGCCTTGAGATTTCTTTGATATCTTGTATTTTAGATCCAGTATGACAACGAAGTGTACATTTGACTCCATATTTCCGTTTAAAAATTACTGCATAAATAGTAATATATCCTCGACAACACATCAGTATTATTTTTAATTTTATTATTGTGCATTACACACTAGTTAGTGTTTTACAGAGTGCCCATGAAATTAATGAAGGGCACCTTTATAGATAAATGTTTTTGACTTAATTTAACTACTTCTTTTGAAGATATATGTGTTCTAATTCACAAGGACAATGATATTTGCAATGACTGCAATGTAGTCTGTCATGGTGATACAGAAGTATTCATTCAAAAGTACCCCTAGTTAGCAAATCTCACTTATGATTACTTTTCTCTATTATGGAAGCTCTGGCAGCCTAATAGCAAGAAGCTGTGCTGCAATCTCAAAGGCATGAGGTTTGAGGCCACCAGCTGCTCAGTGGGAGAAGGATGGGAAATATCCTCTCATGTGATTAATTGCCTCTTAAAATCCACTAGATGTAGAATAATTCATCTAAAAATTCCCCTAACAATACTTAAGCAGGCTTTGGGCAGAATATTGAATGATTCAGAAAGCATTAAAAGAATATGGAAGGAGTATACAGAGTCACTGTACAAAAAGAAATTGGCTGACACAGAAGAATTTAATGAAACAACATATGAGCAAGAGCCTGTGGTGATGAAGGAAGAAGTTCAAGCTGTTCTGAAGTAATTGGCAAAAAACAAGGCCCCAGGAATTGATGCCATACGAACTGACATATTCCGACAAACAGACGCTGCCTTGGATGCACTCACCAAGTTGTGGCAAGAAATCTGGGGGACAACTACCTGGCTAACTACCTGGATGAGATCTGTATTTGTTGCCATTCCAAAGAAAGGTGATCTGGCAGAATGAGGAAATTATACAGCAATATCATTAATATCACATGCAAGCAAGATTCTGCTGAAAATTATCCAAAAACAACTGGAACAGCACATCAACAGAGAACTGCCAGATGTGCAGGGTGGCTTTAGAAGAGGCCGTGATACTTGGGATATTATATCTAATGTTAGATGGATTGTGGCTGAAAGCAGAGAGTACCAGAGGAATGTATATCTTTATTTCATTGACTAGAAGGAGAATTGATGCCTTTGTGCTGTGGTGCTGGAGAAGAGTATTGAGAATACCATGGACTGCTAGAAAAACAAACAGATTCGTCCTGGAAAGGGTTAAACCGGGTGGCTCCTTGGATGCAAGGATTCTGAGGCTCCATCTAACACACTTTGGACATGTTGTGAGGAGAGACCAGTCCTTAGAGAGGGACATCATGCTTGGGAGGGTGGAGGGACAGCGCAGGAAGGGAAGGCCCTCTATGAGGTGGATTGATTGAGTGACTGGGATAATCGGGATGGGAGTGTCAGAGGCAGTGCAATTGGCACAGGACAGAACAGAGTTTAGGGCTGTTGTACATAGGGTCTCTATGAGTCGCAAGCGACTCAACGGCACATAACAACAACAGCAACAACAAGCAAAGGCATTTGACTGTGTGGATCACAAACTGTGGCTAACTCTGAAAAGTATAGGAATCCCAGAACTATTGATTGTGCTCATGTGAAATCTGTACTTGGGCCAGGAGATAGTCATCAGAGCAGAGCAAGGGAACACTGCGTGAGTCAAAATTTGGAAGACTATATGCCAGGTATGTGCCCTATCTCCATACCTTTGCAATTTATATGCAGAACAAATCATCTGGGAGGTTGGCTTTATGAGGAGGAATGTGGCATCAGGATTGGAGGAAGACTCATCAACAATTTGTATTAT